AATAAATCTACACATTGGAGTCACATCAATTCACAGCTGAATGGAAACAAGCTACTCTCTCTCCAATCTTCAAAGGAGGAGATAGAAAGGACCCAGACTGTTACAGACCAGTCGCACTACTACCAATATTATCAAAGGTTATGGAAGGACTAGTGGACGAACAAATGAGGGAGTACATGGAAAAGAATAAAATACTCCATGATGCTCGACACGGGTTTCGGAAAGGCAGGTCGTGTGCATCTAATCTTCTCATTGCATGGGACAGTTGGACATCCTGTTTGTACCGCGAAATACCGGTACACGTAATATTCCTCGACTTTGCAAAGGCTTTTTACACAAAACCTCAAATACGCCTAATTGAAAAGGTTGTGGAAATGGGCTTCACTGACCCACTCGTATCTTGGCTCAGAAACTACCTTGAGAATAGAAGGTTTCGCACCAAGATAAACAGAGTGCACGCCAGTTGGCGAGTATTCACATCGGGAGTTTCACAAGGCACCATCCTAGGGCCACTTCTCTCCCTGATATTTATTAACGACCTGCTAGACTCAGTTAGCTCACCGGCATTGATCTACGAAGACGATGCGAAAATCTGTAGGTCCATTAGAAGCGAAGAAGATTCGACTGAGCTTCAAAAGGACTTTACATCTATTGAGAAATGGGCAGTGAAAAACGGTTTAAAACTCAACCAACCGAAGTGCCGCGTCATGCATTTCCTGCCTCATATGACTCAAACGACCTATACCCTCAATGGAAGTCCACTCCCTAATGTCTCCTCAGAGCGCGATCTTGGTTTAATAACCGCAGAAATCCTCCACACCAGTCCAAACTATGTAGGGAATGCAGCCAAGGCAAACGCGACTCCTCACTTTATGCGAAGACAGCTTGGTGCTATCACCCCGAAATTATTTTTAACCCTGTTTAGGACGTACGCGCGCCCACACTTGGAGGTTCACAACGTCATCGCACCCCCTCTGCTTAAAAGAGACATTAATCTCTTGGATCGAGTGCAGAGACGAGCAACCAAATGGGTGATAGGGTTGAAAAATAAACCGTACGACGATAGACTCCAGCTCTTGGGATTATTTCCACTGAGCTACAGGAGAATCAGAGGTGACCTGATTATGGCGTACACCATATTAAACACGCCAAACCATCCCAATGTGAGCATCTTACCGATGCATCACCACCACTCCCCTCGAGGCAATCCTCAAAAGATTGCACATCAAAGAGCAAATACTCAGATTCGTGCACACTTCGCATTGCGAGTCGTCGCAACTTGGACTGCTCTCTCAGCCGAGGTAGTTACAGCCCCCTCAGTGGACTGCTTTAAGAAGAGACTTGATAATCACGTACTCACATACGAACTATCATCTCCGTCTTGGACAAGCAGTGCCTGATGCATATCTTCAGACCTGCTAGTTATTACCATTGCTATCTCCTCAGATCACTCAATTAATCTATCTCGCCTATTCCTCTCCCTTGCTTACACTTCGGTCCTCTCTCACAATCTTCACTACCAATTAATAAACTAAATTCATCTATATATTACTCAGTTCTGAAATTTTACTCATATTATCATTTTAATTTATCCTTATTACCCTTATTACTCTCCACATTGCAACTAACTGATCTCCGGTTTGGTAATGTGACGGCTGCTAGTATCCAGAAACCCTACTGCCCTGAAACACACATTTTCATTCAAATTCTGAGACATACAAACTCATAACCAACTGCCAACTGACTAGAATTAGACAGTTGAGTGGCTATACCTCCACCCATCCACCTGGAACCGTACCGAAAGAACAAGAATCGAGCGCGAAGAAATCAAATTGGTTTACACTAGCTCGTGAAAAAGATATTGGATATTGTACTCAGCCGGTCAGAAGAAATACAAGGTCATTTCGATTTTCAGTTTTGACTAATAGGTAAGGCTAGACTTTGGCTGATCAGTTAAAGACTTTCAATCTCCATTTTTAGACACTTGAAAATTATTTATACTAAACTCATAGTTCGTATGTATTTTCGTTTCATTCTACTTGTTAAATTCTACTCTTTCTGCGCTTGTCGTATGAATTTCTATCATGTAAAGTTCTCGGTATTATTTATTAGACGTGTTCGTAGAAGAGAGGCATCATGGATTTGTAGAATTATTAGGGTTGCCATGTACTTTCGCCACTTTATGTTGATGTGGAGAATCAAGGATATTTACTAATATTTAAAAGCATCAGGTTGTCTAAGCGTTTCGGTTGCTATGTGCAAGTAATGGTGGAACATTGCTAGTCTAATGTCAGCTAGTAAAGTTCTTAGGAGAAATCGTAAACTAGAGTAGACTCTGAGTTTCTTCATCTCAGTCCTCCCAGTTTTAGAAATCGACCAACTTTTACCTAAATTTAGGGTTTTAGAAAATAACCTCGAGCCTCTTATTTTAAAGTTCGTTTGTATAGAGATTCATGCTACCCTGTGTGCTTCGTCATATGTTAGTTGTACACCGTTTATATAGAAAAGTCATCTCGCATAACAATATCTCACTCTGTAATATCGTAAGCGTAATTGATTCCTGTCATATCAATGAGTCTATGCATCATGATGAGTAATTTAAGGTATAGAGAACTGACTAGTGACCTCAAAAACAGGTTTTAGTCGCCTGAGATTGTTAAAGTCATACTTCAGAACACTTAACAATATTAACAACGGAAACCGAGATGTCAAGCAGACGACACAGTCATACGTCCGATGTCTTACTTTCATACATACATTATACTGCATAAATAATCCTCCGTGAATAAGGCAGATCTCATCGCAACCCAGTTGTGTCAAATAGTTCTTTGGCTTGTAAGGTTCCAATAAAGAATCTGAATTACATTAAAACCTTATTGTGGTAGGCTTCCTTTTGTGTACCCAGTTTTCTACAGCCGTACAAACTATGCTCTGCATCTAATCAATCAAGCAAAATTGTCAGCAGTCAGTTGATAAGTTAACTATAAACTATGCAGTAAATTAGTTGTAAAACTTAACTTAATTCCCATGACCTACTTACTTACGCCTGTTACCCCCAATGTAGCAAAGACCGTCGACCAGTATTCTCCAACCTACTGTGTCCTGAGCTTGCCTTTCCAGTTCCGTCCAATTTTCGTTCATTCTCATTCTTGTCTCCATTTCTCGACGTAATGTGCTCCTTGAGCTTCCTCTTTTCCATTGATCTTGAAGTTTCCAAGCGAAGGCTTGTCTTGTGACGCAGTTGGGTCCCTTTCTCAGTGTGTCCTGTCCACTTCCAGCCCTTCTTGATTTCCTCCGTTGGAATCTGGTTTGTTCTTTCTCACAGTAGGTTGTTGGTAATATTGTCTGGTCAACGGATCCGGAGCATTTTGCGTAAAGGAACGACACCTGGATGGATCTTATGGTATCGCGGCTAATAAAACAGATAGTGGTGACCGTCTGCTGCAACTATGCTCAGATAACCGTCTACTCCTAGCAAACACTAACTTTAAGTATAAAAAAGAAAACCTTTTCACCTGGCGACTCCCAAAGGCGACCCAACTATGGATCCAACCAGATCACATCGCTATAAGCCATCGCTGAAGAAGCTCTATTGAAGACTGTCGCTCATTTGGAGCACTTGTTTAGATTCAGACCATGCTCTAGTGCGAGTGCATATTTGTTTGCAAATTACCGGACGTAGGAAAGACACCGCAAGGAAACCTGTCAGGGTTATACCTAATGATGGCAGAGCTATGAATATATTTCAGGAACAAATAGAAAGACAGTTAGGCGACCACTTAAGTTATCCCTATCCGGAGGCAGCTTGCAACGATATCAAAAAGGCTGTGGAAACAGCAGTGATATCTGCTTGTAAGGTACACCATAAGGCTAGAATGAAGCCGTGGATCTCAGTAGCATCTACCGAACTGGTAGATGCTCGAAAGCTCTGAGTACGATGAGGAGCAAAGTCAGCTTAGGCACATGCTGATTATTGGCCTAGAATATGCCGATGACATAGTTTTATTTGGTGAAGACGTCTTAACTCTGTGAATGAAGACTTTCTAACTCTGAGGGCAGAGTCAAAATGGTTTGAGTTATTTTTTCTGGTCAGCATTTTTTTAGCGAGTTAGCTTCCCACGGGATATGGTTGCCAATCCTCCTCTTTTATTCGGGCTTGGGACCAGCAGTAACCCCAGAGGGGTTCCAGGTGGAGTCATGTTCTAGATAGGACAAAAAATGGCAACATTTGTAAATGCTTTAGTTTTGGTAGGTAAGCACTTAGAATGTTCTATTTCAAGTCCCAGGACAGATTTTCCGCCGTAGGACTTAGAGTAAGACTAATGTTTAGTTATTAAGTTACTCGAATCTGGACCATAGATTCACAGGTCCATGGGCTTTACTTTGTTTTGGGTAATCAGTTCCTATCAAGGTTGAGGCCATAAATTCGCTCCTGAACAATAAACCCTATAAGTTCTATGCAAAGGATGAAATAATTGGTAAACAAATATTATGCAATATTGAACCTAATGAGCTGCACATGTGTTTGTTTGGAGATCTTATTCACTCCCATTTGATCTTTTCAATTCCGTTGATGGTTGATTTTAGGATATACAGGTTAAACTATGTGTAGGTTCACTGTATAAATTTAGAATAGAAACTGTTCCAGAATTTCATTACTGTAAAGCTAGTTATCCTCGCCGAATCTACTCTCGTAAGCTAGCTTGAGAAAATGTAACATTTTGCTTCACATGTAGAGTATGAACGAAAACTGATACACTAAAATGGTACTTTATTAATTATATATCTTCCTCCTAGTTGGCCTACTTATTTTTAAAAATATTATAATTCTAGATAGTACAATACCACGATGAATCCAATTACGAATGCTAAAAATCAGAATTTTATGAATGAAAAAGAACTATCGCTTGGTCACACAGGAACAGTTAGCAGTTGGCACAGACAATACAAAGATTCTGCTTGGATCTATGTGGGTGGTTTGCATTATGATCTCACTGAAGGTGATGTTATTTGTGTTTTCTCTCAATATGGTGAAATTGTTAATATAAATTTAGTTCGAGATAAAAAGACAGGTGTATCCAAGGGATTTGCATTTGTGTGTTATGAAGATCAAAGGAAGCACTGTCTTAGCAACTGATAATTTAAATGGAATTAAATTAGGTGGTCGTATAATCCGAGTGGACCATGTTGAAAAATATCGAGTACCAAAAGATGGATTCTCGATGTTGGGCATACAGATAAAAAGCCAGAATAACAAAACGACCTACTGATTCGGTTTCGGAATTTGTTAAAGAGCATGGATGTGGTCCCCGAAGTAATGGAAGCAGCCTAAAAAGGAGACAACCTCAACCAAGAAGAAGAAGAAAAGCGACGTCTCGAAGCTATTGCAAAGGCGGAATGGATCAGGAGCAAACCGCCGTCATAAATCTAGAACCCGTAGCACCTAGAGGAAATGAAAGGTCCAGGTAATAGAGAGAATCGAGAGCCAAGGCACAGGGAAGATAGAGAGCCTCATTCGAAGACAAAGAGAAAGAAACCAATCAGCACAGGGAAACTCTCCGAGACATCTACGCATCCAAGTCCCTCTCCCACCACGTAAAGGGTCTCCATTAAGGCAGAGCCGCCCAGCCCGCCGAAGAATGGTTCCGCTGAGTTGAGTGTCTAAATCGTCACTACTGCACATTTCTCTGTACATAAAATTTTGTTATAATTATGGACGTTAAAAATATTAGTGTATAGTATGACTGATGTACATGCAATTATTGTAAATATCTATCTCTGTAGTATTTACTTTGTGTAAATTTTTTAATTAATTTACCATGAAACATTCTAGATTCGATTTTTTTTCTAGTTGTCCAGAGCGCAACCAAAAATTCTGTTCAGGTCCTTATAAATAAATCACCTATTGAGTTATAAGTCTTCTCTGCCATTTCATCAAAGGTATTTACGTATTTAAGTGATCTCAATCATTTCTAGCTCCAATAAGACTCGTACAAATAAGTTAATTTTCATGTGTACGAATCACCTCAACGATCGATCAGCATCTTAAAACATATCTCAAGCCATATATAAAGTCAAACTTTTAATTCAACATACTCACGGCTTTTTCGTTGTTGCTTTGTCAAAATGGTAGTGACTGATATTAGTTAGATCGAGAATAAAATTGCTTGCATTCACGTATTTTTATTTGCTTGATGAATCTATTTCTTGCTATTATAAGTCTAAAAATGTATCATCGTGACATAGTCGGATTTTAGATAAGTTTTCATATAAAGTACATGCCAACTATATTTAAAATAATTTCAAATGCAAAATAAAGTTAACAAAAGCAAACCCATGTTTAATTATAGGATCGGATTCCGTCTGTAGTCATCGTCGTTAACTAAAGCGATGTATGAGTCACATCATCCCTACTAATTTGTTTGGAATCCCTGACCTGAAGCAGCTACCTTGACGTGATGGTCGGGTTTGCCTACTCGTGATGACCCAACCGACCTATATTAACTGGAACATATGTTCCTGTAGGTTTTACCTGCCAGGAAGGTCGATTGGAGAACGATGAGACTAAAATCAGCTACTCAAGGTCTGAGGGCGAAGTCGTAGTGCTGACTGTAGAGGGGTGTGACACCGGCGATGCTGCCTCCTCACAAGGAAGGAGGGGTTTAGAAAATGGTCTCACCTCACCCTCCTCACGGATATCTTCTCCGGCGGTAAGGCACTAAGGGCTTTTAAGAGCGGAGCTAATACTAATAACCTTTCATGCGAATCATGGCCGTTAAGAGTAGAGGACTTTCCTAGGTTACTAGTCTTCGAAGCATTTCTCGTGTATCCTGGGACAACCGTATAAGCAATGCTGTCCTTAGGAAATGAGTTATAGTTAGGGATGGGCAAATCAATTGATGAAGTTGTGAAACGACATGGCTCATAATCGTTTGCGATGCGCAGGTGCATCCACTCTTTATGTTCTCTCTAATTCTACCCTTCTGAATTCCTCATCATCTCCATATTCTCCATCTGAAGTATACTTCTCGAATCATATCTTTGCTCCCTAATCTTCTCCATTACTCCTAATACTTCTGTTATTGCCATCACTGTTGGATTTGAACTGACAGACGCGTCTCTGTGCTGATGGGTCATGGCAACCTGAACTGATGTACGTACGTACGAAGTTCTGTGTTGTATCTGTCTGTCTGTTTGAATACGCAACTGGATGTTTCTCTATATTGGCTAAAAGACCCTGTACTATTGTGACTCTCGCATAGATTTTCAAATAGTCGCTAGTCATTTGATTCCGTAAGTATTTACTGGCACAAATGTTTGACCATAGTAGTTGTAAATCTAAATCTATGTGACATATCCTCCTTACCTGTTAGAATTGTAGGAAAGCGACATAAGTTCTACCGTAAAATCGAATGTTAACTATCAAATATTGAGTGGGAATCTGATAAGTTTTTAAATGGAATAGTCGAGGGCTACGATTCCAGTACATATGCAAAACTGCTGACTTATTGTTAACGATAGGGCTTGGTGACTCTTGATTTTATGGTAAGATATTCTTGTCTAGTGAAACAATCATTTAAAAATAACAGCAGCGAAAGAAGAAATACGACAACATGAAATACACGATCGAAGTATGTGTACCGAGTGAATTCGGTGACCAAATCAGCTGATTCACCTGCCTTATTGTGAACTTCATGTTTATTATCGAACAGTGGTAATATCCTACCACATCTCCAAAAGGTATACGGAACGAAATGATACAATGTTGCTACGTTTCTGCAGTTGATAAATTCCGACAGTGTATCTGTAATCATGCTTCATCAAAATACGGCTGATACAATATGGAACTAATGTATAGGCTGCAAACAGCTCTAAATCGACAACAATCTAATAACGGAGCTTACTAGTAGAGGTGGCCATTCGAAAGCGTCACTATTATGTTCAGTGTTTATCATAGACTTATTATATCGTAACGAAAACCTTGTAAACCGTTTCAAAAAACAATAGTTTGTAACCCAAGAAGTTCATGAATTTACTGTGTCATCAAGATTGAAGCATCAAATTAAAATAATTGACTACATAGTTTTGTAAATATCGTAACAACAATAGTTGAATATTGTAGTGATATGATAAATGATTATACATTGTCATACAAACATTACTAAATAAAGAATAACAAAGTTAAACAACTAAACTGCATAATTTTCTTAACATGTATGAATACAGAAAACTGAACAAGTTATTGATTGTACAAAGTTAAAAAAAATCGAAGCTTCGACTAAACATTGGCTTGTTTTTTTTCACTATTACTTCTTTCTTGACTGAGTATGAAGGTCAAAATGTATTAGACCTTCATACTCAGTCAAGAAAGAAGTAATAGTGAAAAAAAACAAGCCAATGTTTAGTCGAAGCTTCGATTTTTTTTAACTTTGTACAATCAATAACTTGTTCAGTTTTCTGTATTCATACATGTTAAGAAAATTATGCAGTTTAGTTGTTTAACTTTGTTATTCTTTATTTAGTAATGTTTGTATGACAATGTATAATCATTTATCATATCACTACAATATTCAACTATTGTTGTTACGATATTTACAAAACTATGTAGTCAATTATTTTAATTTGATGCTTCAATCTTGATGACACAGTAAATTCATGAACTTCTTGGGTTACAAACTATTGTTTTTTGAAACGGTTTACAAGGTTTTCGTTACGATATAATAAGTCTATGATAAACACTGAACATAATAGTGACGCTTTCGAATGGCCACCTCTACTAGTAAGCTCCGTTATTAGATTGTTGTCGATTTAGAGCTGTTTGCAGCCTATACATTAGTTCCATATTGTATCAGCCGTATTTGATGAAGCATGATTACAGGATACACTGTCGGAATTTATCAACTGCAGAAACGTAGCAACATTGTATCATTTCGTTCCGTATACCTTTTGGAGATGTGGTAGGATATTACCACTGTTCGATAATAAACATGAAGTTCACAATAAGGCAGGTGAATCAGCTGATTTGGTCACCGAATTCACTCGGTACACATACTTCGATCGTGTATTTCATGTTGTCGTATTTCTTCTTTCGCTGCTGTTATTTTTAAATGATTGTTTCACTAGACAAGAATATCTTACCATAAAATCAAGAGTCACCAAGCCCTATCGTTAACAATAAGTCAGCAGTTTTGCATATGTACTGGAATCGTAGCCCTCGACTATTCCATTTAAAAACTTATCAGATTCCCACTCAATATTTGATAGTTAACATTCGATTTTACGGTAGAACTTATGTCGCTTTCCTACAATTCTAACAGGTAAGGAGGATATGTCACATAGATTTAGATTTACAACTACTATGGTCAAACATTTGTGCCAGTAAATACTTACGGAATCAAATGACTAGCGACTATTTGAAAATCTATGCGAGAGTCACAATAGTACAGGGTCTTTTAGCCAATATAGATAATCTGCAGAAACATCCAGTTGCGTATTCAAACAGACAGACAGATACAACACAGAACTTCATACGTAAGTACATCAGTTCAGGTAGCCATGCCCCATCAGCACAGACGCAACTGTCAGTTCAAATCCAACAGTGATAGCGATAGCAGAATTATTAGTAGTAATGGAGAAGATTAGGGAGCAAAGATATGATTCGAGAAGTATAATTCAGAGGGAGATGATGAGGAATTCAGAAGGGTAGAATTAGAGAGAACATAAAGAGTGGATGCACCTGCGCAATCGCAAACGATTATGAGCCATGTCGTTTCACAACTTCATCAATTGATTTGCCATCCCTAACTATAACTCATTTCCTAAGGACAGCATTGCTTATACGGTTGTCCCAGGATACACGAGAAATGCTTCGAAGACTAGTAACCTAGGAAAGTCCTCTACTCTTAACGGCCATGATTCGCATGAAAGGTTATTAGTATTAGCTCCGCTCTTAAAAGCCCTTAGTGGGCACCCTTACCGCCGGAGAAGATATCCGTGAGGAGGGTGAGGTGAGACATTTTCTAAACCCCTCCTTCCTTGTGAGGAGGCAGCATCGCCGGTGTCACACCCCTCTACAGTCAGCACTACGACTTCGCCCTCAGACCTTGAGTAGCTGATTTTAGTCTCATCGTTCTCCAATCGACCTTCCTGGCATGGTAAAACCTACAGGAACATATGTTCCAGTTAATATAGGTCGGTTGGGTCATCACGATAGGCAAACCCGACCATCACGTCAAGGTAGCTGCTTCGGTCAGGATTCAAACAAATTAGTAGGGATGATGTGACTCATACATCGCTTTAGTTAACGACGATGACTACAGAGGAATCCGATCCTCTAATTAAACATGGGTTGCTTTTGTTAACTTTATTTTGCATTTGAAATTATTTTAAATATAGTTGGCATGTACTTTATATTGAAAACTTATCTAAAATCCGACTATGTCACGATGATACATTTTTAGACTTATAATAGCAAGAAATAGATTCATCAAGCAAATAAAAATACGTGAATGCAAGCAATTTTATTCTCGATCTAACTAATATCAGTCACTACCATTTTGACAAAGCAACAACGAAAAAGCCGTGAGTATGTTGAATTAAAAGTTTGACTTTATATATGGCTTGAGATATGTTTTAAGATGCTGATCGATCGTTGAGGTGATTCGTACACATGAAAATTAACTTATTTGTACGAGTCTTATTGGAGCTAGAAATGATTGAGATCACTTAAATACGTAAATACCTTTGATGAAATGGCAGAGAAGACTTATAACTCAATAGGTGATTTATTTATAAGGACCTGAACAGAATTTTTGGTTGCGCTCTGGACAACTAGAAAAAAAATCGAATCTAGAATGTTTCATGGTAAATTAATTAAAAAATTTACACAAAGTAAATACTACAGAGATAGATATTTACAATAATTGCATGTACATCAGTCATACTATACACTAATATTTTTAACGTAACCAATTTTCAAGGTGTTGCAAGCCGATACCATAATTATAACAAAATTTATGTACAGAGAAATGTGCAGTGACGATTTTCACTCAACTCAGCGGACCATTCTTGGCGGGCTGGGCGGCTCTGCCTTAATGGAGACTTTACGTGGTGGAGAGGGACTTGGATTGCGTAGATGTCTCGGAGAGTTCCTGTGGCTGATTGGTTCTCTCTTTGTCTTCGCATGAGGCTCTCTATCTTCCCTGTGCCTTGGCTCTCGATTCTCTCTATACCTGGACCTTTCATTTCCTCTAGGTCTCGGTTCTAGATTATGACGGCGGTGCTCCTGATCATTCCGCCTTTGAATAGCTTCGAGACGTCGCTTTTCTTCTTCTTCTTGTTGATGTTGTATCTTTTTAAGCTGCTTCATTACTTCGGGACCACATCCATGCTCTTTAACAAATTCCGAAACCGAATCAGTAGGTCGTTTGTATTCTGGCTTTTTATCTGTATGCCCAACATCGAGAACTCCATCTTTTGGTACTCGATATTTTTCAACATGGTCCACTCGGATTATACGACCACCTAATTTAATTCCATTTAAATTATCAGTTGCTAAGACAGTGCTTCTTTGATCTTCATAACACACAAATGCAAATCCCTTGGATACACCTGTCTTTTTATCTCGAACTAAATTTATATTAACAATTTCACCATATTGAGAGAAAACACAAATAACATCACCTTCAGTGAGATCATAATGCAAACCACCCACATAGATCCAAGCAGAATCTTTGTATTGTCTGTGCCAACTGCTAACTGTTCCTGTGTGACCAAGCGATAGTTCTTTTTCATTCATAAAATTCTGATTTTTAGCATTCGTAATTGGATTCATCGTGGTATTGTACTATCTAGAATTATAATATTTTTAAAAATAAGTAGGCCAACTAGGAGGAAGATATATAATTAATAAAGTACCATTTTAGTGTATCAGTTTTCGTTCATACTCTACATGTGAAGCAAAATGTTACATTTTCTCAAGCTAGCTTACGAGAGTAGATTCGGCGAGGATAACTAGCTTTACAGTAATGAAATTCTGGAACAGTTTCTATTCTAAATTTATACAGTGAACCTACACATAGTTTAACCTGTATATCCTAAAATCAACCATCAACGGAATTGAAAAGATCAAATGGGAGTGAATAAGATCTCCAAACAAACACATGTGCAGCTCATTAGGTTCAATATTGCATAATATTTGTTTACCAATTATTTCATCCTTTGCATAGAACTTATAGGGTTTATTGTTCAGGAGCGAATTTATGGCCTCAACCTTGATAGGAACTGATTACCCAAAACAAAGTAAAGCCCATGGACCTGTGAATCTATGGTCCAGATTCGAGTAACTTAATAACTAAACATTAGTCTTACTCTAAGTCCTACGGCGGAAAATCTGTCCTGGGACTTGAAATAGAACATTCTAAGTGCTTACCTACCAAAACTAAAGCATTTACAAATGTTGCCATTTTTTGTCCTATCTAGAACATGACTCCACCTGGAACCCCTCTGGGGTTACTGCTGGTCCCAAGCCCGAATAAAAGAGGAGGATTGGCAACCATATCCCGTGGGAAGCTAACTCGCTAAAAAAATGCTGACCAGAAAAAATAACTCAAACCATTTTGACTCTGCCCTCAGAGTTAGAAAGTCTTCATTCACAGAGTTAAGACGTCTTCACCAAATAAAACTATGTCATCGGCATATTCTAGGCCAATAATCAGCATGTGCCTAAGCTGACTTTGCTCCTCATCGTACTCAGAGCTTTCGAGCATCTACCAGTTCGGTAGATGCTACTGAGATCCACGGCTTCATTCTAGCCTTATGGTGTACCTTACAAGCAGATATCACTGCTGTTTCCACAGCCTTTTTGATATCGTTGCAAGCTGCCTCCGGATAGGGATAACTTAAGTGGTCGCCTAACTGTCTTTCTATTTGTTCCTGAAATATATTCATAGCTCTGCCATCATTAGGTATAACCCTGACAGGTTTCCTTGCGGTGTCTTTCCTACGTCCGGTAATTTGCAAACAAATATGCACTCGCACTAGAGCATGGTCTGAATCTAAACAAGTGCTCCAAATGAGCGACAGTCTTCAATAGAGCTTCTTCAGCGATGGCTTATAGCGATGTGATCTGGTTGGATCCATAGTTGGGTCGCCTTTGGGAGTCGCCAGGTGAAAAGGTTTTCTTTTTTATACTTAAAGTTAGTGTTTGCTAGGAGTAGACGGTTATCTGAGCATAGTTGCAGCAGACGGTCACCACTATCTGTTTTATTAGCCGCGATACCATAAGATCCATCCAGGTGTCGTTCCTTTACGCAAAATGCTCCGGATCCGTTGACCAGACAATATTACCAACAACCTACTGTGAGAAAGAACAAACCAGATTCCAACGGAGGAAATCAAGAAGGGCTGGAAGTGGACAGGACACACTGAGAAAGGGACCCAACTGCGTCACAAGACAAGCCTTCGCTTGGAAACTTCAAGATCAATGGAAAAGAGGAAGCTCAAGGAGCACATTACGTCGAGAAATGGAGACAAGAATGAGAATGAACGAAAATTGGACGGAACTGGAAAGGCAAGCTCAGGACACAGTAGGTTGGAGAATACTGGTCGACGGTCTTTGCTACATTGGGGGTAACAGGCGTAAGTAAGTAGGTCATGGGAATTAAGTTAAGTTTTACAACTAATTTACTGCATAGTTTATAGTTAACTTATCAACTGACTGCTGACAATTTTGCTTGATTGATTAGATGCAGAGCATAGTTTGTACGGCTGTAGAAAACTGGGTACACAAAAGGAAGCCTACCACAATAAGGTTTTAATGTAATTCAGATTCTTTATTGGAACCTTACAAGCCAAAGAACTATTTGACACAACTGGGTTGCGATGAGATCTGCCTTATTCACGGAGGATTATTTATGCAGTATAATGTATGTATGAAAGTAAGACATCGGACGTATGACTGTGTCGTCTGCTTGACATCTCGGTTTCCGTTGTTAATATTGTTAAGTGTTCTGAAGTATGACTTTAACAATCTCAGGCGACTAAAACCTGTTTTTGAGGTCACTAGTCAGTTCTCTATACCTTAAATTACTCATCATGATGCATAGACTCATTGATATGACAGGAATCAATTACGCTTACGATATTACAGAGTGAGATATTGTTATGCGAGATGACTTTTCTATATAAACGGTGTACAACTAACATATGACGAAGCACACAGGGTAGCATGAATCTCTATACAAACGAACTTTAAAATAAGAGGCTCGAGGTTATTTTCTAAAACCCTAAATTTAGGTAAAAGTTGGTCGATTTCTAAAACTGGGAGGACTGAGATGAAGAAACTCAGAGTCTACTCTAGTTTACGATTTCTCCTAAGAACTTTACTAGCTGACATTAGACTAGCAATGTTCCACCATTACTTGCACATAGCAACCGAAACGCTTAGACAACCTGATGCTTTTAAATATTAGTAAATATCCTTGATTCTCCACATCAACATAAAGTGGCGAAAGTACATGGCAACCCTAATAATTCTACAAATCCATGATGCCTCTCTTCTACGAACACGTCTAATAAATAATACCGAGAACTTTACATGATAGAAATTCATACGACAAGCGCAGAAAGAGTAGAATTTAACAAGTAGAATGAAACGAAAATACATACGAACTATGAGTTTAGTATAAATAATTTTCAAGTGTCTAAAAATGGAGATTGAAAGTCTTTAACTGATCAGCCAAAGTCTAGCCTTACCTATTAGTCAAAACTGAAAATCGAAATGACCTTGTATTTCTTCTGACCGGCTGAGTACAATATCCAATATCTTTTTCACGAGCTAGTGTAAACCAATTTGATTTCTTCGCGCTCGATTCTTGTTCTTTCGGTACGGTTCCAGGTGGATGGGTGGAGGTATAGCCACTCAACTGTCTAATTCTAGTCAGTTGGCAGTTGGTTATGAGTTTGTATGTCTCAGAATTTGAATGAAAATGTGTGTTTCAGGGCAGTAGGGTTTCTGGATACTAGCAGCCGTCACATTACCAAACCGGAGATCAGTTAGTTGCAATGTGGAGAGTAATAAGGGTAATAAGGATAAATTAAAATGATAATATGAGTAAAATTTCAGAACTGAGTAATATATAGATGAATTTAGTTTATTAATTGGTAGTGAAGATTGTGAGAGAGGACCGAAGTGTAAGCAAGGGAGAGGAATAGGCGAGATAGATTAATTGAGTGATCTGAGGAGATAGCAATGGTAATAACTAGCAGGTCTGAAGATATGCATCAGGCACTGCTTGTCCAAGACGGAGATGATAGTTCGTATGTGAGTACGTGATTATCAAGTCTCTTCTTAAAGCAGTCCACTGAGGGGGCTGTAACTACCTCGGCTGGGAGAGCATTCCAAGTTGGACGGACTCACAATGAGAAAAAGTGTGCACGAATCTGAGTTATTTGCTCTTTGATGTGCAATCTTTCGAGGATTGCCTCGAGGGGATTGGTGGTGATGCATCGGTAAGATGCTCACATTGGGATGGTTTGGCGTGCTTAATATGGTGTACGCCATAATCAAGTCACCTCTGATTCTCCTCTAGCTCAGTAGAAATAATCCCAAGAGCTGGAGTCTATCGTCGTACGGTTTATTTTTCAACCCTATCACCCATTTCGTTGCTCGTCTCTGCACACGATCCAAGAGATTAATGTCTCTTTTAAGCAGAAGGGGTGCAGTGACGTTGTGAATCTCCAAGTGTGGGCGCGCGTACGTCCTAAACAGGGTTAAAAATAATTTCGGGGTGATAGCACCAAGCTGTCTTCGCATAAAGTGAAGAGTCGCATTTGTCTTGGCTGCATCGCCTACATAGTTCGGACTGGTGTGGAGGCTTTCTGTGGTTATTAAACCAAGATCGCGCTCTGATGAGACATTAGGGAGCTGGACTTCCATTGCGGGTATAGGTCGTTTGAGGCATATGAGCGAGGAAATGCATGACGCGACACTTCGGTTCGTTTAGTTTGAAAATTTTTTTCACTTCCCATTCCTCAGTGGATGTAAAGTCCTTTTGAAGCTCAGTCGAACCTGCTTCCTTTCTGATGGACCTTCAGATCTTCGCATTGTCTGCGTAGATCAATGCCGGTGAGTAAACTGAGCCTAACAGGTCGTCAATAAATATCAGGAAGAGAAGTGAGCCTAAGATAGTCCCCTGTGAAACTCCCGATGTGGATACTCGCCAGCTCACGTGCACTCTATTTATCTTGGTGCGAAACCTTCTATTCTCAAGGTAGTTTCTGAGCCAAGAGACGAGTGGGTCAGTGAAGCCCATTTCCACAACCTTTTTCAATTAGGCGTATTTGAGTTTTGTGTAAAAAGCCTTTGCAAAGTCGAGGAATATTACGTGTACCGGTATTTCGCGGTACAAAACAGGATGTCCAACTGTCCCATGCAATGAGAAGATTAGATGCACACGACCTGCCTTTCCGAAACCCGTGTCGAGCATCATGTAGTATTTTATTCTTTTCCATGTACTCCCTCATTTGTTCGTCCACTAGTCTTTCCATAACCTTTGATAATATTGGTAGTAGTGCGACTGGTCTGTAACAGTCTGGGTCCTTTCTATCTCCTCCTTTGAAGATTGGAGAGAGAGTAGCTTGTTTCCATTCAGCTGTGAATTGATGGTACTCCAATGTGTAGATTTATTT